AGGTGTGTGTTAATGTACTTTTTTCTCTGTATGTGCCCTGCGACTGGCTGGCGACCAGTTCAGAGTGTCGTCTGCCTTCCGCCCAAAGTCAGCTGGGATAGGCTCCGGGAACTCCCCACGACCGTCTTTGCGATAATCGGTGTAGAAAATGGATGGATGGATGGACATGGAGGGCCCGATCTGGCCCGCAAACCGTACATGTGACAACCCATGACTCGAACGTGCTAGCCTCTCAATGTTAGCACTGACTAAACGTCCGATTGTGTCACCAAAAAAGCACAATGTGTAAACTGGCATTCCTACGGGGTCAACCGTTGTGATTTAGCAAACGGGTTTGTGTCAGTTGTCCTGCGCCGTGCTAACCTACAGGAGCTAGTTGGCTTAGCAGCGGTTGGCATAGCAACCGCTGTTGCTAATCCCGCGGCTCGATGACGTAAACGCAACGCAAAGACGCTCACCAATGCTGACGTGTTGTTTCTTTCCAGACCAAGACGGCTCTCATTTCTTGACAGGTTCCAGCTCGAATTTGGATCCACAGGTTGTTTGCCCGCTCACTTGCTCATGTTGGCTTCTTCAGTCAGGACTCCCGGGGGGCGGGGAGAGGGGCGCGCAGACGCAGACTCACTTCCTGCTTCACACTTCCTGCTTCCTGCTTGCTCGCGACGTCAAAGCTGTCTACCTAAAGCAGTTGGCGGGATGCTAAACGGGATCGCCAATTGATTGAAATCAAACCACTCGCCGCTGCTGTTGATTGGCAAGGAAAGTGAGTTCATTTGGAACCGATTGCTTTTCAGGCGAAGGTCTCGGGAAATTAAGGATTTTCGTACCAATTTTAGCGATAAAACACCCGCGGGTCGGGAGGGCTCTTCTTCGTCCGCCATTCTGCCCCGACAAACGCTAAGGGACCTTATAGTGCCCCCCTGCGGCGATAGAGGCGCACCGCAATTGAGCAACCCTTCGTACTTGGCACACGAGTTGCGCTTTCGTACGAACCGTGCGTGTGGACTGAAGGCCTTCTTGGCATGTATCTGTACTCTTTGTCCAAACTGGTTCGACATACGGCGGATCAGCAAATGGATGGATGGAACACTTAACAATGAAAGTTTCTCATACGACCTTTCCAAAATTCCCCAGCTTTAATTCCTTATTACAATGAAAGTTTCTCGTGTACGACCTTTCCAAAATTCCCCAGCTTTAATTCCTTACCTGAACTTAACTGCAAATGTTGCACTCGTTTCTGTTTTTTTTTTTTTTGTATGCCCAGCTAGAAACGTACACAGTGGAACCCAGATGGATGGATGTGCGTGCTGCCACCAGCCCCCACTGCCTGAAGGTTGGACCAGAGAGGTTCGGCGGCGTCGAGCGGGCAAGACGGCAGGAAAAGCGGACGTGTACATCTGCAGGTAATCGCCTCCATCTAGCCAAGCGCCTTGACTCGGCTCTGCGCTGCCCAACCAAGCGTACGTTTCTGTTTTGAAGTCCCCACGGGCAGAGGTTTCGATCAAGAGCTTCTCTGCGAGCGTTCCTTGTCAAAAACGCTCAAAACGTGGACATCAACCTCTTGGATTTCACAGCGCCGTGTACGCAGTGTCTCCCTGTTGGAGAGAAACAAACCCAAGATGGCGAGCGGGACGTCCCGGACGATGCATTCAAAAGACTGGCTCCACCTCCAAAAGCAGTAAAAAGGGCAAGCTCCTCCCACAAAGGCGATGCGGCCGAGCGGCTGACCTTTGAGAGCCAAGCGACTGACAGGCCGGGCCCGCCGAGAGCGCGGCGGACTTGCGGCAGACCTCCCGATGCGGACGCCGTCGAGGCAGGTGAAGCGGAGGAGCGGATGGACCGCGAACCGAATCGGAGACGGAAGGTTGTCCTCGCCGGCCGACAGGAGGACTTCCCGTCTGATGCGACTGCTGGAAGCAGCGCCCAAAAAGTGGCGCGTCACAAGAACAGTAAGCCGTGACTTCAGTCACGGGGTGTCCAAATTAGCCCCCCCACCACCATCTTTTCCACTCAAGCTCACGTGGCGTTGTTGTGTTTGTAGGAGCAGAGTGCCAAAGTTCCCAAGACAAACGGAAAAGGAGCCCTTACTTCAGTGGGAAAGGTGCTGAAAATACGCTGGAGTCGGGACCGGCCGTGCGTTGAATGATGTCTCCTTTCTGAAAGAATGTCGTCCCCGCCGTGTGTGTGTGAAGGTCCCAGCCCCCCTCGAAGAAAGGCCTTCAAGAAGTGGACACCTCCTCGTTCTCCGTTCCACCTTGTCCAAGAACTCCTTTTCCATAACGCCTGGAAACTGCTGGTGGCCACCATTTTTCTCAATAAGACAAGTGGTAAGCTGGCTCGCACACCCCCAAAACGGGAACACTCGCACACACAGTTTGTGCGCGAGCAAAAGTGTCTCGTGTGTGTGTGTGTGTGCAGGTAAGACGGCCATTCCGCTCCTCTGGCAATTCTTCGAGCGGTATCCGTCTGCGGAGGAGGCGCGCCGGGCCGACCGCGAGCTCTTGTCGCAGCTCCTCAAGCCGCTGGGCCTTTTTCAGCTTCGGGCCAAAATCCTCATCAGATTCTCGGGTGAATGAAATGCTTGTCCTCTCCAAGTGGGTTCGGGATTGCAACCAAACACGCAGCAGCAGCTGACCAGAAATCCTCACTTGGCTTTTACTTTGAAGTACACGTCAGCTTTGGTTGAGTTTTTTTTTTAGGGGAGTTTTCATGTTCCAAGTGTGACAAATGTTACAGTGACTAAGAATGGTGGTCCCACTTTTTGGGTTGTAAAACCTCAGCCTGTTGGGCCTCCCGCACAAATGTAATGTTGATCATGATTCGAGTGTATGGAGAGCTCAAAAACTTTTCTTTCATATCCAAGCAGCAGACTGATAGGCGCTTATTTTTTGCACGTGGATGTTCAACATTGATCTTGTGCTGCGCGCAGACGAATACTTGAGCAAAGCGTGGCGCTACCCTGTGGAGCTGCACGGCATCGGGAAGTACGGCAACGATTCCTACAGGATCTTCTGCGTGGAAGAATGGAGACAGGTCCGTCCCCATTTCTCTCCATTTGGGGGGGGGACTTGGGGTGCCCATCTTGGCACCGCTGTCTTTTGTTCCAGGTGACGCCCGACGATCACATGTTGAACAAATATCACGCGTGGCTGTGGCAAAACCAGGAGGCGCTGGGAATCTGAAGACGGCGCGACGATGCGTCCGCATCAATGGCTTGCGGTCCTCACGGCTCATTTTTTGTGCCGGCAAGATTTGCATTTTAAAGCCCACTCAAAAGGGACAATAAAGCGTTTTGTTGTTTGATTACGCGGGTCAACTCACGGATTCGGAATCTGCCCTTGCTTTTTCTTGAGTGCCTCCACATTTCAGGATGACAATCAGTGACGCAACATCGTCATCCATCGCTGTGAAGAAAGAGCTTCGGCAACAGGTGCTTTTGGTTTGGGGCTTTTTTTTTTGGGGGGTCAAACCTCAAAGCTTGAAATGACAACGCACGCTGAATGCTTGGGGGCCATTGAAATCAATGTCAAGTGACTCGTTTCCATTGCGTCTCTTCCTTCCTGCCATTGCCGCGGCGTACGCAACAAAACGTCAACACAGCCAGACTTCTCTTGTGTTGCGTTTATTGAAAAGGAAAACGCCAAGCGGAGAATGAACTTTTTGGGTGCTGCAAAGCAAAGAACTTTCCAAATCAATTCCAGGCAACACAAATGGCTTGCATCCTCATGATTGAAGCGTTTCCCTTCAAAGCAGCCGCAACAATGCCATCCTGCGGCGGGGTGTCCTCCATGCCAGAGACAACAAAGAAAGAAAGATTCATTTCACCGGAATGCAATCAAAACATTCCTGCTTGAGTGGTGATGAGCTACACTGCATCAGGAACAAAACCGGACATGAGGAGGAGGGGGTGGTCCTGATTGAAGGGGGAGAGGGAGGGGGGGGGGCAGCAGCCACTTTGCAGATGAGTAAATGCAGTCGCCGATATGAACAATCAGTAGTGGTGGTTTGCAGAAGTGGCGAACCCAACAAAGTCCAGCTCGCAAATTCCTTTGAAAGGCGTGCGCAGCGTCACCTTCATCTCGTCCTCCGGCATCTTCGCATCGATGCAAACAAAACGCGGCAAAGGCCCTCGCGGGCGGCTCCCCGAGCCGACGCCGGCGTGCGGGGTTGGGGGGGTGGGCGTGTCAATGATCCTAGCGGGCCTTGAGGAATCCGTCCAGCACGTCGTCGCCCTTCTCCGTCAGCCAGTAGCCGGCCATGGCGGCCACGCCTCCGATGAAAATGGCCGTAAAAACCATGTCGCCTTTGGCGGCCAGCGTGGCCAAGGCGCAGATGACCACGCCGAAGAACATCTGCTGCAGGACCTGAACCTCGTCGTCCGTCATGTCGTCAAACAGGCCCTTCTCCGGACCGGCTGAGGGGAGGGGTCAAAGGAGCGTCACGGCGGCAGACGGCGGCGAGCAGCGACGCGCCCCTTGGCGTGCGGACGTACCGGGAGCTTTGTTGTCAACGCAGATGCTGTCTCTCCTGATGAAGCCGTCGGCGCAGTCACAGTGGAAGGAGCCCAAGTCGTTGATGCAGGCCTCGTTGAGTCCCGGGCACGCCATCGCGCCTTCGATGCATTCGTCCACATCTGTCGCAAGAAGCCACACCCCCCCGTTTTACACGACGCAAAGCCTCGCCGGACACCGGCGGGGGGGCTCAAACGGCAAAGCCAAGCCTCACCTTGACACTTGGCTCCTCTCAGCTTGTAACCGCGCGCGCATTTCTTGCAGCGGGCGGGACCGCTGCCCATGCAGCCAACGCAGGCCTGGTCGCAGCCTGAAAAGCCGGCCGCCGCAAAGTCACACCCCCTGGCGACGCGAGGTCTGCGCGGGTTCCCGCCGCTCGCGACTTACCTCTGCAGTCGTAAGAGCCGTCCGTGTTGTGACAATACGTGTTGGAGGGACAACGGGAGAGCTCCGTGCCGCACTCGTCCACGTCTAAAAAGCACACGCGGACGAGTGCGGTCGGAGAACAAAAAGGTCCGGGCGCGGGAACGGCCGCGCCGGCCGACGGAGCCCACTCACCCACGCACTTGTTGTCGTGAAGCATCCAGCCCGCTTTGCAGTCCAGGCACTTGTAGTCCTGCGGGCCCCAGCATTTCTTACACGAGTGGAAGCAGGCTGCGGAGGAAAGGCCCACACAGACCACCGGCGTGAGCGCAAGTCTCGGCAATGACGGTCTGACCTACAATCGCCGCCGACATTCCTTCAGTCGTCATGAGCGAGTCAGGAATGAGTGAACCATCATCGCCAGTGTCATCCTTCATCCTTCCTGAAGTTGAGGCTTCTTGTTGTTGTTGTTGTTGGACGCCATTTGCACCGACCGAGCGGGACAAGACCACTCGGAGGCGCCGCTCTGGAGATTTCTTCTGGGTTCAGAGAGGCGAGGCGAGGGGAGGGGAGGGGGCGTCTCGCTTTCACCTCGTGAAAATGGACTTTGATATCATTCCTGTTGTATACGACAAGACGGTGCCAAATGTTGGCCCACTCTGCATCCGTTGCAGCCGCGTCATCCTCCCATCTGCGGCCCTTTCTCGAGGTTTCTCGTTTTTCCCCCCACATGGGGTCTTTTGAGTTTTTCCTTGCCTTGCCGGCCGGGTAGGGGTTAAGGGAAATCCGACCTTGTGCTTTTCACCTTTTGCGAAAAGCGAGGGATTACCGTATATTGGTCGCAGAGGATTTTAGAGGCGCGCTCTTGTCCCGTTCGCGGCGAGGTGAACGAGGTCAACTTGAGCCGAGGCGGAAATCAGGTACCTGCGCAGGCTCCGGAGGTGGCGTTGGCGCTTCTGTCCGCGTAGTAGCCGTCGGCACAGTCGCCACAGAGCGGGCCGGCGTATCCGGGGTCACACGCGCATCGGCCGTCCCCCGTTCGGGTGCCCTCGCCCTCGCAGCGGCCCAAACCGCCACACACGCCGCCGGGCCCCGACGGACACTCTGCATCGGAAAAGTGTTAGCGCGCGTGTGCGTGTCACCTTTTGATGAGGGCAAACGGCCGAGCCTTCGGGCCAACCTTTGCAGTCGGGTCCGAAGCGTCCGCGAGGACAGCACAGGCGCAACTGCTCGATGCACAACCACTCCGACAGGTCGGGCGCCTCCCGCTGCCTACGCCACAAAGTCACGCGCGTTGCGTATCAAACAACGGTGGCGTACACTCCTGCCTTGACTTACCGGGTTTGTTTGGTTTTTTTTTTTGTAAGTCAAGGCAGCGGCGTAGCCATCAAGTAGGCAGAAAAGCATTTGAGCGGCGATGGCCGTGGTTACCTGTGGAACCACCACGTCTCCACCTGGTCTTCGATCCGCTCCAGCAGGCGGTTGCATTCAAAGTCGGTCTGGTCGCACGCGCTCTCCACGATCTCCAGGAGACGAGTCTCGCTACGGCAGAAAGTGGGCGCGTCATCGGAAACAAGCGCGCTCGTTTCTGACATTGAAGAGAAACGGGCTGGGGCGGAGACTTCAAATTCAGGTCGCAGCATAAACGGCGTCCCTCCACCATAACGGCGTTCATCCCAGTAGAACTTTGGAGTCAAAATGTTCATTGCAAAGAGTTCAATGAACATTTCCGTATAACTTTGTGACGTAGTCCACTAGAGAAGCTACATTGAGAAAAGAAGGACGATCAAACAAGTCTGAATTCGGATGGCGTTTATTGTGCAATTATTAATACGGCTTCCTTTATGCGAAGCCTTTTGGAGTGGTCACCTGCATTCTGGACTTACTGCCACTTATTTAGAACACAAAAAAAGGAGCACCGGGTGTTCGAGGTATGTTAGGTGCGGTTTGAAGCTTTTGATTTGTTTCTTCCTGTTGGAAAATGAGCCGAATTGGATGGAGTGCGGACGCGGCGACTGACCTGCTTGCATACTTGGCCAGCTTGTCCTCTTCCCAGGCCGTGTTGCCTCCCCCAAAGTTCTTGTTGGCCGTTCTCTCCAAGCCCTGGAAAAGCGCCGTCGATGACCGAGTGGCGACATGCGCAAATGCAACTGCGGTACCTTGATGAAACTCTCCACCAGTTTCTGGCAGGTCTGGCACGGCGCCGCGCGGACCGTCGCGAGCGACAGCTCCGACAGGAGGATCAGGGTGGGCAGGACTGGCCAGGCCCGCCGCATGACGCTTCCCATAACAATACGGGCTATAAAACAAACACAACAAAGAGCCGTGCGCAGTTAACAACACGTCCCACCCAAACGTACACATTTTTACAGTGAAGCTTCCGTCTCTATCTTGTGGCCAGCTATCATGTGACAGAAGGCTTCAACAACACCTGTGCTCGATGGAGCCGAGGGATCCATTTTACATGCCCCGCAAATTTCTAATCCAAAGTCAGTTCGGAAAGTACATCTCCTGAAGCAATGATCATGATCGGGTCTCAATTATGTCACAGTTGTCATTTGTGTGAAATGTGTGTACAAGTATGTTTCATATGCATGGAGGTAGATAGATAGATAGACACAAAAACGAAATGGTGTGCTTTTTCACGAGTTTCTATATTGCATTGTATTTATTTTTAACCACACACTGGTTAAAAAAAAATAAAAGTTACTTATAATCCTTTTTGGCCTGGAAGCGATGAATTGCATTTTCATTCATTTCAAATGGGAAATATTACGTTTGATCTATGAAGGTTTCTATACAATACATCTTTATAAAGCACTTTTACAACAGCTTCAAGTTCCAAACGGGCTCACGGAATCAATTCAGTTTGTGCGTGCGTGCGTGCGTGCGTGTGTATATACAGTGTATATATATATATATATATCTCACACATCACATTTCAGCCATAAGATACAATTTTGGTGCAATGACTTCTATGGTAAAGGAGGTATGTCGTGTTAAAACGCTTGTTTAACTTTGAACACCTGCCCGTGCAAATGAATCTGCATGCCCTGCCTCGGCCCATGTATGAAAATGCCGTCGTCATCGTCATCATCATCATCCAGTATTTCCCAAAATGAGAATATATTCATTGCAATGTATACGACTCATGTCTTTCCTTCCCGTGTGAGTCAGCACAGCATCAGCACCCAAGCTTAGCTCAGCTTACTTTGCTGCCCTGCCCGTTTTTGTTTTTGGCGTGAACCCACTAAACGCACTAAATAGGCCGGTGCCGGTGCTGTTGGGGCGGGGGTGGGGTGTCATATTAGAAGCAGTGGAAGGAAGATGGCTAACCGTTAGCTGCAGCTGTTGTTACCTCGACAAGTCGAAGCCTTGAACGCCTCTTCGTCCTCGTCGACCCGACGTCCTTTCCGTTCGTCTGACGCATGCAAAAGGCACAGTCATGTTTGGGGGAAAAGCCCGGTCAAATGCGCTGTCTGTGCAGCCATCGCAGTGCAAAGCTTGGCTGATTTGTTCGGTCAGACGTCTGCAATCGTGAATGAACGACGAGCGATTCTTTTGATCCGGGAGCGATGCGGCATTCGGGGAAAGTCCGAATTATCCTACGTGGAAATTCCGACTTCCCACCTTCCTCGAACGCAGCAGTAGTCCCGCCCCAAAATCCTGGAGATGGTCTATCGACCAATCAGAGCCATTTAAATACTGATGACGCCACAACACGGAAAACAGCGAAAAACGAACTACACAAAACAAATCTTTTATTCTGTTTGGGATTGTACGACTGTACCACATTGGCCCGCAACAGCTTTACTTAGAAAAACATCTATAAATAAATCAAAAATTAATCCGACAGAATGATGGGATTCGTCTAAAAGCCAAGAGGAGGGGCGTCCAAGCTCGGTTGTCAAAGTCCGCCGTCCCGCCTATTTTCCCGGGGAGCAACACGCCTGATTCAAATCATGGTTCCAATCCCGCTTGCGAGCTGGCCGATGAGCCGATCATCCGAATCAGGCGTATTGCAGTTGGGAGAGCCGGAAAACAGGCCGGACGGCGGTCCTCCAGGCTTGGAGATGGACATGCCTGGCCTAGAGAGAGTATGACAATTTATTTTTATTTTTTGGTGAAGAACACACGTAAAAAAAAGAAAAACACGCTCCCTGGGGACCTCAATTGAAAACAAGAAGAAAGCTTTGCGGAGACACTAAAACCACTAGTCCGAGGCTCAATCATTGACTCTTTTTGTCAGGGATGAAAGGCCGCCTTTGTCGAGATCTGCGGTGTCGGAAGCCTCCTGGTCTTTGTCCAACTTGATATAAAAGGCCTCTCTCCCTCCACTTTCAAACCATCAATCTCCTCTTTCCAGGGCCTGAGCATTTTCTCTTCAAAAGTGGGCCATTCGTCTTTGAGGCGCAAGCGGGCGAGCCGAGCCTTGACCCGAAGAGGCGTCGTACTTCTGAGTGGCCGGCGACCACCTCACGTCGTCGGTCAATTCCATTTGCCGCTTCCAGTCCGCGCTCATTGACATCGTCTTGCCGCCGGCTCATTTGTACGCTATCGGCCTGAAATGGGCTCGGCGGCGGCTCAGTACAGCAGCGAGTGAAGGGTCTGCGCCTCGGACCGAGATTGTCAGCGAGAAACTACGTATTTTGCCTTACCTGACGCGGCAAAGGAAACCAAAGGTTGAGTTGCCGTCACCGAGAACTCGCAGGCATTCCACGAGAACATCGGGACTCACACCAGGGCAGCTTGACCGGTGCTTCTGCGCTTTCGCTTTGTTTCCTTTTTGACTGAAGGCAAGAACTTGGACCCTCCCCTGAATGCTATGCGGCGTTTTTTTTTTCCCAATCCCGACGGAGGAGACCATTGGTCACCTCGGGCCTTTCCTCTTTTGCACGGGAGGCAGCAGCGTCTGCAGTCTGCGGGTCAACCGCCGCACCAGCCACACGGACGCCCCCTTCGCAAGCAGTCTGCGCAGACAGCGCCACCGTCGCGTCTTTTCCGTCGCCCTCAGGCCTCCGAGCTCCCGGATGAGGCCGCCCAAGTCCCGCGGGATGCAGTAGCGAGGGACGTGTCGAAAGCTCCGAGGGATGTCCCCGCTGCGGCCCAGGCCTCGGAAGTAGACCAAGGCGACTTCTCCGCCTTTGCGCCGGCGCAGCGCCCCCTCCAGACACGTCAGAGCGGCCGCGAACACGGCTTGGATGACGGCGGAGGGCTCGTACTCTGTTGCCAGCTCCGTGTCCTCGCACGCCTCGGCGCCATCTTTCTCCGGCTGCCCCGGTCGTCCGGCGTGGCGCGGGGAACGGTCATCGGCCTCGTCTTTGCCGCCGCGCCGCCGCCGCCTCCACTCGCCGTACGTCCCGTTGGCCTCGGGACTCCAGATGATTAAGACTTTTCCTCGCGCCTCGCGCACGGCCTCCCACTGCCCGTACAGCCAGGGCAGCGGGCCCAGGTCGGCCACGCCGCTCTCGGGGCCGGCGCCCGCCCCGCCCGGGGCCAGGTGCACCGTGGCGCTCAGATCGCCGCGGAGCAGAGAAGCCAGAGCGCAGGCGGCCGAAATGTGCCGCGACCTCTCCGACGAGCACACCAGCAACACCGGCTTGCGGATGGACAGCCGAGCTGCGCGGGGGAGACGAGGGAGGAAATCACTTTGCTGCCGCGTGAGCGCGCCGAGGCCGCGCAAGTGACCGATGGCCTTAGCGCGGCCGGTGACCCGCCGGCGTTCTGGCGCAGAAACAACCGAACCATCTCACGTCCCATTTTCACATGCCGGGCGCTTCAAAGCGTTTCCGGAAAAGAATGAAATGATGCAACTGACCCGTCGCTCCCGTTGTCACGAGAGAGTGGAGAAAAATGGCCAAAAACGCCAACGCGGCGAGCAGGAAGAAAGCCGCCGGCGCCGCCCGCGCGCCCCACCTGCCGCGAGGGTCTGCACAAACAGAGGCGGCGCACGACCGGTCCAATGGGGAACGACAAGCGCGGCGCCGAGCGTACTCACGGTGCGGGCACGCAATTCTTCGGCCCTTCAGGGCGGGAAAGGACCGCCACACCTGCGCGAGTTCAAGCCATGAGACGCGAAAGCAAGGCGGCGTTCGGCGCCGCTGCGACGTTACCTGCACGCACGCTCCCTCTCCCGCCGAGCCGAGAGGCACGTCGATCCGGCTCGTGGACGCGGCCTCCTGCCGAAGACAAAAACCGTCAGCGTTCTGTTTGTTTGCTTTTTAGGTGCGTTGGTGGGCCGGCGCGCGGTCGGTCGCGGTCGGTCGTCCGCGTCCCTTTGGGTGCTCACCGCCGCGACTGTGCGGACGGGCCCGCGGGCCGCGCATTCCCTCGCGCCGGGCACGCACGTCTGAGCCCGGAAGGTGGCGGCCGCGGACGACTTGACGTGGACGGACAGCGCGCCCGGGCCGGCTTGGAGGGAAACGTGCCACGACGGGGTCTCTGCAACACAGAGGGCGCACGTCACGCTTTGCTCGCTTGGGAACGCTTCCCGCGGGGGCCGAGGAAGGGGCGGGTCAATCGGGACCGGGCCCGAGGATGTCCGCGTCGCAAACGCGTCAATCCAACCAACGGCAGACGCTTTCAAAAGCTATCGGCGGCCCGTCCGGTGTGAAGAAAGCCACGCGGAATCCTTCAACGTCTCGGAGGAGGCGCGTTTGTGTCTCTTCTCCGTTCTGCGGGCGTGCCTCGCGTACCAAGTCGCGCGCGTTCCCTCAATTCCACTCCAAAGTCACCGTGCAAAGCGGTGAAACATTCCGAGCGTTCTTGGGACAGTTTCAAGCCCTCCGGCGAACACGGCCGCACCTTTTGGCACCAAAACAAAGTGGCCTCAAGGCAATAGTGCAAGACTGTTTTCATGTGCAAGACTATTTCATTGCTGGAGCCACGACCTCTTGACCTCAAGTGCGAAGCTACTCTCATCTACTCGATGTTTTTCCTTTGCTCTGACTGTCTCTATAATGAGCTGCTCTCGCACAACTCGAATTGCCCCACGGGGATAAATAAAGTTTCCTGAATCAGAATCTGAAAGACTGAACTCACCGGCCTGGAAGGGGCACGAGATGTTGTGGCTGCCCGCCAGGGAAAACTGCAAGGACAAAACCAGACGGGGAAAACTCAGCATCCGAAGAAACGTTTTTTTTTGCATCCGCGGACTCGCCTCAACGAGCGTCGCCGCCGAGGTCATTTTGGAAGAAGCGGAATCAGCACACCAAAGACTTGCAAAATTGGCGCGGGAGGAGTCGGGCAGGCCCGATCGGCAATTTGCCTTCGGGTGACACGCGACCTTTCTGCATTTCGTGTCTCAGTGGGACGCGAGCGGAACCCGTCCTTCGTGTGTCTTTTCCGTACGCACGCGCGGCATCGCCGGTCAATCGGCTCGTAAGAAGGACTTGGATTCTTCCGCCGAGACGGCCTCGCGGAACAGCCTCACAGGCCGTTTTGCGGCACCGGTGCATTTTTTTAGATTCCCCTTTCCCCCCTCGCGGAAAGCGACCGTTTCGGCTATTGTGATTGCGGTCAAAGGTCAAGATGACGAGTTGCAAAAGATTGCCGTCTGCATTGAAACCGAGAGCCCGCGTTTCTTTGAGGGGCGAGCAAACGAAGGAAACGGGGCCGCAATGAGACATCGGGGGCACGTTCCACTCGGAGGCCGCAATAGCGCTCGCTCGGGTCCATCTCGGCGGCGGGCGGGCGGTCTCACCTTCACGCAGATCCGAGGGTGTCGGTCCACCGCGGAGATGTCGAAGATCTGCGAGGGGGCACAC